AGGGTTTCTATTGCTGTGAAGAGACACCATAGACATAGAAACACTCATGAAGGAAAACATTTAATTGGACTAACTTACAGGTAAGAGGTTGCATCCATTATTGTCATGGTGGGAAACATGCAGCATGCAGGCAGACATGGTGCTGGAGATGTAGCTGAGAGTCCTGCATCTTAATCCAAAGACATCAACAGGAGACTGTCACACTACGTCTAGCAGAAGGAGACCACAAAGCCCACCTCCACAGGCTACATATCTTAATCACGCCACTCCCCACAGGCCAAGAATTCACACATATGAGTCTATGGGGGTCATTCCTATTCAACTCACCACGTGGATTGAGGCCAAACTTACAAGGCTACACATTTCCTGCCTTTGTGAAATCAAGCACATATCCTGTGCAATTGAGCAGCTAACCTTGTTGACAAAAGTGAAAACACATGTTTTATTTTACATCAGCAATATCTCCTAGCATTCCAAGAAGTTATCTGTCATTGAGCAAGCAGGGACTTATGTGTTAGAGGTGTTTTTATTTTACAGATCTCTTAAGCACAGTAATTTAAACTTAAAAATTTTAATGTTAGCTATCATATCACCCCTTGAATTGTATTTTGAGTAAAATATTTGACTCTGTGGTGGGTAACTGTTCATACTGGAATCTAATAACCATCAGCTTAATGGTACCCAGATGGGAATTTATGTATCTATTTAATGCATTGACGAAGCAAGGGTCAAGAGTGTTTTGGAGATATGGGGCTAAAGACCGTAAGATGGCTGACATCAAAGTTACTATATAGGAGGATCCTGAAAATGAGAATGGAAACAGTTCTTTAATTTTATCTCTTGCTCCTGCCACCCCCCATTTTGAACTTTTTTTCAAAATGAAACTGATGTGAGGTGTTTCTCAGTATGCTGTGAATATGTGTTGCTTCTATTGGTTGATGAATAAAGCTCCTTTGGCCTATGGCATGGCAGAATATAGCTAGGCAGGAAAACCAAACTGAATACAGGAAGAACGAAGGGTGGAGTCAGAGAGGCACCAGTAGCCCCCTAAGGAGAAAGATGTCAAAGAATTAACAGTAAGTCACGGGCCATATGGCGATACTCAGATTAATAGAAATCAGTTAATTTATGTGTAAGAGCTAACTAGTAATAAACCTGAGCCAAGAGTATAACAATTAAAATTAATGTTATTCCTCTGAATGATTATTTTATAAGTGAATGTTTGACCAAGCAGGACACAGAAGAGCCTCTGGCTACATGGGAGATAGATTTCCTCATACGACCTAAAAAGTCTTTTTTAAAAAAGTCTTCTTGAACACATGAACAGAGCCAAAACAGTTTTGTAGTTGTGTCTGTAACGTGAGCCATGGTACAGAGATGACACAACATTTAGGGTTTAGTATAGTATGACAGATTCCCACCATGGTATACAGTGGAGTCTCATGATACCAGCTTGCTGCATGGTGAGTTTGTCTTTTACTCATACAGACAAAGAAGGTTTGTGGGCCAACTGCATGCTACCTTACGGCAGCATGAGGGGAGGGTAAGCCTGACTTTCCTAGGCACCTCTGCCCTGCTGGAAAGCTAAACAGGGTGGAGCCAACAGCCATGGGCGCCACTTTAGTCTGAGTCATGCCAACTTAACAATTTAAAGCACTGATAAGAAAACAATTATAGATACACAATAAAGATAGATTTAGATAAAAAGAAACCTCTAAACAGGTCAAAGTGTGTTTAAAAATGTGTGTAAGCTTAGGAGAAAGAAAGACAATGAGTATAAAGAGTTATAGAAAGAAAGTTTTCAAAAGTAAAACAAAGTCTTTAAAGAGACATTAAAATAATATAAAAAAACATGTAAAGAAGGAAAATACACAGGGAGTCTGGATTCTGTAGGTGACCGTGTTGATTTAGAATTTTTTGGTTGCTGAAAAGCAAAGGACAGCTGCTAAGAGATATGAGATTGAAAGATACTGATAAAATACACTAACTTAAATATTTTAAAAAGTGCTGTAACTTTTAAACAAAAGTCAAAAATATATTTGTAAAATAGAACTTAAAAGATAAATTGCTTTGGAGAAGTGGTTCTGCTTTTGTTCCTATGGAAGATGAGAAAATATAGTTTTTTTTCAGGATAATATGGTTTGATGGATAATATGGTTTGATGGAGCAAGACCCATCAACAATCTCTGATGGAAACGATGGGTCAGTGGTGCAACATCCACATAGTTTCAAGGCCTCTGGCTGAAATGGACCAACCATACAAAATATCCCAGTCGGAACTTGACCATAATCCTAAATTTTCTTAGTGTTCCCATAAGATTTCCAGGGTCCCAAATCAACAGGAAGTAGTATAGAAAATTACCCCCAAATTCTCAAAATATTGTTTATGAATGTTTGTTTTCATTTAAAGGGGGATGGTTATAAATGACCAATGGTCATAATCAATCTCCTTCTAAAGAAAAACAGGGGATATGATATAGAAATGATGATTAAAAGGTTGATTATTGAACCTACTTTAACCCAAAAAACAACTGTTAATCTTAAAATACTTTAAATTGGTATGGATTTTGTTTTATTAATACAAATTTAAAGTCAATTTTGTTATACTATATGATTATTTTTACTCTTATTTAAGGTATTGTATTAATTCAATTCATTTATAAATGTAATGAATAGTTAAGAAATATAAATTAATAGTCATCTATATGAGTCAAATTTATGGTCATGTTAGTTAGGTTTTCTTCTTTTCTTTCTTTTTTTTTTTAAAAAATATAGATTTTACATAAACATATTTATTGTTTGTTTACAGAAAATGTTTGTAGGAAGTCATTTAACCAATAGCCTTTTAGATACCCATTATGACATGGTCTGAGGTACTATAAAGACAGGAAGCATCCATGAATGCTTGCTGGCTTGCTTGTCAGAGTCAGAGTTTGGTTTACACCTTCCAAGTCCCACGGAGGACCTTAATTCCCTTCCCTTATTGTGAGTTTTTTCCCAAATAAATAAATAGATAAATAAATAAATAAGTATTTTTTCCCCTTTATTCAGGGCTCTTGTGGGCCTCCTTAATTATGCCTACAGAAACTTTAAAAGAAATGCCACATTGATAGGATGAAGCATCCTTTAGGTATATGCCTAAGAGTGGTACAGCTGAGTCTAAAGGTCTCAATTGCCACTTTTTAGAGAAATCACCACATTGGCTTCCATAGTGGCTGTAACAGTTGACACCCTTGCCAGGTATGGAGGAGAATCCCCTTACTCCAAATCCTTACCAGACAGAGTTGTCACTTGTGTTTCTGATCTTAGCCATTCTAACAGGTGTAAAATGGATGTTGAGTATTTCTTTAAACATTTGTCATTCATTTGAAATTTCTCTATTGAGAATTTTGCTTAGATCTGCTTTCCTTTTTTAAAAAAATTATTTATTTATTTAAAATTTCCACCTCCTCCCATTCTCCCATTTCCCTCTCACTCTCCTCTCCCCTCCCCCTCGCTCTACAGTCCTAAGAGAAGTCAGGGTGCCCTGCCTTATGGGAAGTCCAAGTCCCCCCCACTTCCAAGGAAGGTGTGCATCCAAACAGACTAGACTCCCAAAAAACCAGTACATACAGTAGAATCAAAATCCAGTGACATTATCATTGGCTTCTCAGTCTGCCCTCATTGTCAGCCACATTCAGAGTCCGGTTTGATCACATGGTCGTTCAGTCCCATTCCAGCTGACCTTGATGAACTCCCATTAGATCAGTTCCACAGTCTCCGTGGGTGGACACACCCCTCCGATCCTGGCATCCTTTCTTATATTCTCCATCCTTCTGCACTTCATCTGGGCTTTGGGAGCTCAGTCCAGTGCTCCAATGTGGGTCTCTGTCTCTATCTCCATCTTTCGCCAGATGAAGATTCTATGATGATTCACAAGATATTCATCAGTGTATTAATGGGAGAAGACCAGTCCAGGCACCCACTCCTCTGCTGCTCACAGACCTAGCTGGGGAAATCCCCTTGGACACTTGGGAACCCTTCTAGAGCCAAGACTCTAGCCAACCCTAAAATGACTCCCTTAGTTAAGATATCTTCTTCCCTGCTCCCATATCCACCCTTCCTCCATCTCAATTATCCCATTCCCCCAATCTCTCCTCAATCCCCCTTCTACCTTCTCTCTCCCCATCTCTCCTTCCCCCTAACCCACCCCATCCCCCCTGTTTTCAACTTTTGCCCAGCTATCTTGTCTGCTTCCAATCTTCAGGAGGATAACTATGTATTTCTTTGGGTTCACCTTCTTATTTAGCTTCTATAAGATCATGAACTATAGGCTCAATGTCCTTTGTTTATGGCTAGAATCCACTTATGAATGAGTCCATACCATATTCATCTTTTTGGGTCTGGGCTATCTCACTCAGTAAGTGTTTTATATTTCCATTCATTTCAATGCAAAATTCAAAATGTTATTTTTTTTAACCACTGAATAGAACTCTAAAGTGTAGATGTGCAAAACCTTCTTCATTCATTCTTCTATTGAAGGGCACCTAGGTTGTTTTCAGGTTCTGGCTATTACAAATAGTGCTGCTATGAACATAGTTGAACAAATGGTTTTGTAGTATGATAGGCCATCTTTTGGATATATTTCCAAGAGTTGAATTGCTGGATGCTGAAGTAGGTTGACTTCCAGTTTCCTGAGAAATCACCACACTGATTTCCAAGTTTGCATTCCCACCAACAATGGATGAGTACTCCCCTTACTCCACAACCTCTCCAGCATAGGCTATCATTGGTGTTCTTGATTTTAGCCATTTTGACAGGTGTAAGATGGTATCTCAATGTTGTTTTGATTTGCATTTCCCTGACTGCTAAGGAGGTTGAGCATGACCTTAAGTGTCGTTTGGCCATTTGAACTTCTGTTGAGAATTCTTTGTTCAGATCAGTACCCCATTTTCTAAGTGGGTTAATTAGAGTTTTAATGTCTAGTTTCTTGAGTTCTTTTTATTTTTTTTTATTTTTTTATGTTTTTCGGCAGCACATATACTAAAATTGGAACGATACAGAGAAGATTAGCATGGCCCCTGCGCAAGGATGACACGCAAATTTGAGTTCTTTTTATATTTTAGAGATTAGACCTTTGTCTGATTGGGGTTGGTGAAGATCTTCTCCCATTCAGTAGGTTGCCTTTTTGTCTTAATGACAGTGTCCTTTGCATTGCAGAAGCTTCTCAGTTTCAAGAGGTCCCATTTATTCATTGTTTCTCTTATTGTCTGTGCAACTGGGTTTCTACATAGGAAGTGGTCTCCTCTGCCCATGTGTTGTAGACTACTACCCACTTTTTCTTCTATCAGGTTATTGTGGTCAGACTTATATTAGGGTCTTTAATCCAGTTGGACTTGAGTTTTGTGCATGGTGATAGATATGGATCTATTTTCATTCTTCTACATGTTGATATCCAGTTATGCCAGCACCATTTGTTAAAGATATTTTCTTTCTTCCATTGTATAATTTTAGTTCCTTTGTCGAAAATTAGGTGTTTGTAGGTTTGTGGGTTAATATCCAGGTCTTCTATTCTATTTCATAGGTCGACTTCTCTGTTCTTATGCCAATACCAAACTGTTTTCAAGACTGTAGCTCTGTAATAGAGTTTGAAGTCAGGGATGGTAATGCCTCCAGAAGTTCCTTTATTGTATAAGATTGTTTTGGCTATTCTGGGTTTTTTGTTTTGCCATATAAACTTGATTATTGTTCTCTCAAGGTCTGTGAAGAATTTTGTTGGGATTTTGATGGGATTGCATTGAATCTATAGATTGCTTTTGATAGAATTGCCATTTTTACTATGTTGATCCTCCCAATCCAAGAGTATGGATCCTTCCATTTTCTGGTATCCTCTTCAATTTCTTTCATCAAAGACTTAGAGTTCTTGTCAAATAGATCTTTCACTTTCTTGGTTAGAGTTACCCCAAGATACTTTATGCTATTTGTGGCTATCGTGAAAGGTGATGTTTCTCTGATTTCCCTCTCTGCTTCTTTATCCTTTGTGTATAGGAGGGCAACTGATTTATTTGAGTTGATATTCTATCCTGCCACATCACTGAAGGTGTTTATCAGCTATAGGAGTTCTTTGGTAGAGTTTTTGGAGTCACTTATGCACACTATCATATCATCTACAAATAACAAAAGTTTAACTTCTTCCTTTCCAATTCGAATCTCCTGGATCTCCTTATGTTGTCTTATTGCTATTGCTAGAACTTCAAGCACTATATTCAAGAGGTATGGAGAGAGTAGACAGCCTTGTCTTGTTCTGGATTTTAGTGGGATGGCTTTGAGTTTCTCTCCATTTAATTTAATGTTAGCTATCGGCTTGCTGTATATTGTCTTTATTACATTTAGGTATGATCCTTGTATCCCTATTCTCTCCAAGACCTTCATCATAAAGGGGTGTTGAATTTTGTCAAATGCTTTTTCAGCATCTAATAAAATTATCATATGGTTTTTTCTTTCAGTTTATTTATATGATGGATTACATTGATAGATTTGCATATGTTGAACCAGTCATGCATCTCTGGGATGAAGTCTACTTGATCATAATGTATCATTTCCTTGATGTGTTCTTGGATTCGGTTTGCCAGTATTTTATTGAGAATTTTTGCGTCGATGTTCATGAGTGAGATTGGCCTGTAATTCTCTTTCTTGGTTGTGTCTTTGTGTGGTTTTGGTATCAGGGTAACTGTAGCTTCATAGAAGGAGTTTGGTAATGACTCTTCTGTTTCTTATTTGTGACATATATTAAGGAGTATAGGTATTAGCTCTTGTTTGAAGTTCTGGTAGAATTCTACATTGAAACAATGTGGTTTTGGGCTTTTTTTGTTCGGGAAGTTTTTGATGACAGCTTCTAATTCTTTGTGACTTATAGGTCTACTTAAATTGTTCACCTGGTCAGTCATGATTTAATTTTGGTTTATGGTACTTATCTAAAAAATGTCCATTTCTTTTATATTTTCCAATTTTGTGGATATCAGGCTTTTTTTTTTTAGTAAGATCTAATGATTCTCTGAATTTCCTCTGTGTCTGTGGTTATGTCTCCCTTTTCATTTCTGATCTTATTAATTTGCGTGTTCTCTCTCTGCCATTTGATTAGTTTGGAAAGGGGTTTGTTTTTCCTCAAAGAACAAGCTTTTTGTTTCATTGATTCTTTGGATTGTTTTCTGTGTTTCTATTTTGTTGATTTCAGCCCTCAGTTTGATTATTTCCATTCTTCTGCACCTCCTGGGTGAGTCTGCTTTCTTTTTTTTCTAGAACTTTCAGGTGTACTGTTAAGTCTTTCTAATGTGTGCTTTCTCCGTTTTTTTTTTTTATGTGAACACTTAGTGCTATGAACTTTCCTCTTAGCACTGCTTTCATAGTGTCCCATAGGTTTGGATATGTTCTGTCTTTATTTTCATTGAATTTAAGGAAGACTTTAATTTCTTTCTTTATTTCTTCCTTGACCCAGGGGTGGTTCACTAGTTGACTGTTTAGTTTCCATGAATTTGTAGGTTTTCTGGGGTTAGAATTGTTGTTGAATTCTAACTTTATTCCATGGTGATCCAATAGTACACAGGTAGTTACTACAATTTCTTTGTATCTTTTGGATGTTTGCTTTGTTACCAATTACGTGATCAAATTTTGAGAAGGTTCCATGAGATGCTGAGAAGAAGGTATATTCTTTTCTGTTTGGGTGGAATGTTCTATAGATGTCTGTTTGGTTCATTTGTCTATTTGGTTCATTTCATCTGTTAGTTCTCTTATTTCTCTGTTAGGTTTCTGTCTGATTGACCTGTCCATTGGTGAAAGAGGAATGTTGAAATCTCCTACTATTAGAGTGTGGGGTTTGATATTTGCTTTGAGTTCTAGTAATGTTTCTTTTACATATGTGGGTGCTTTTATATTAGGGGTGTAGATATTCAGGATTGAGACTTCCTCCTGAGGAATTGTTCCTGTTATGAGAATAAAGTGTCCTTCTCCATCCTTTCTGATTGATTTTAGTTTGAAATCAATTTTTTTACATATTAGTATAGCCACACCTGCTTCTTTCTTTGGACCATTTGATTGGAAAGCCTTTTCCAAACTTTTATTCTGAGGTAGTGTCTGTCTTTGAGGTTGAGGTGTGTTTCTTGTAAACAGCAGAATGTTGGATCCTGTTTTTGTATCCTTTCTCTTAACTTGTGTTTTTTAATAGGTGAATTAAGTTCATTGATATTAAGTGATATTAATGACGAGAGGTTGCTGACTCCGGTTATTTTTTTCTGGTGGTAGTGTTTGTGTGTTTCCCTTCTTTGAGTTGTGCTGGTGGAGGGTTGTCAGATGCTTGTGTTATTATGGGTGTTGTTGGCTTCCTTGGTTTGTGATTTTTCCTTCTAGTATTTTCTGTAAGGCTGGGTTTGTGGCTACGTATTGTTTAAATCTGTTTTTGTCTTGGAATATTTTGTTTTCTCCACCGATTGTGAATGCAAGCTTTGCTGGGTATAATTGTCTGGGCTTGCATACATGGTATCTTAGTGTCTGCAGCACATCTATCCAAGACCTTCTGGTTTTCATGGTTTCCATTGAGAAGTCAGGTGTTATTCTGATAGATTTCCCTTTATATGTTACTTGACCTTTTTCCTTTGCCGCTCTTAATATTTGTTCTTTATTCTGTATGTTTTGTGTTTTGATTATTATATGGCGAGGGGATGCTTATTTTTGATCCTGTCTACTTGGTGTTTTGTACACTTCTTGTACCTTCATAGGAATATCCTTCTTTAGGTTGGGAAAGTTTTCTTCTATAATTTTGTTGAATATATTTTCTGTGCCTTTGAGCTATAAATCTTCTCCTTCTTCTACTCCTATTATTCTTAGGTTTGGTCTTTTCATGGTGTCCCAGATTTCCTGGAACTTTTGTATTAAGAATTTGTTGGATTTGTTTTGTTCTTAATCAGTGAGTTTATTTCCTCTGTTCTATCTTCAGTGTCTGAGATTCTTTCTTCTATTTCTTGTATTCTGTTAGTAATACTTGTCTTTGTAGTTCCCGTTCGTTTTCCCAGATTTTCCATATCCAGCCTTTTCTCAGTTTGTGTTTTCTTCATTACCTCCATTTAATTTTTAACGTCTTGAACTGTTTTCCTTACCTGTTTGATTGCTTTTTCTTGTTTTTTTTTTGGGGTATCTTTGAGAGACTTATTCATTTCAAACCCTTTTGTTTGTCTTCTCCATTTCTTTGTAGCAGTTTTTCACCTTCTGTTTAAAGTCCTCTATTATTTTCATAATGTTAGGTTTAAAGTCGATTTCTTCTACTTCTTCTGGAATAGGGTGTTCAAGTCTTCTTGTTGCATGATCCCTGGAATCTGGTGTTGTCGTGTTGCCTTTCTGGTTGCTGGAGGAATTCTTGCATTGATGCCTGCCCATCTCTTCCTTCAAATGCAGCCAGGAGAATCTTGGCATCTTGGTCCAATTTATGCTGTGACTGACTCTGGGTGAATCTTCTCAGTGTAGGGGCAGAACAGTTCCCCTCTGAATGGATAGTCTCAGCGCAGGAGTAGGCACTGTTCTTTGGCCAAGTACCCCACAGACAATAGGGCCAGTTTGGGGGAGGCAGGGATGTGTGGAACAAAGAAGCCCCTGCAGCAGGAGCTGGAGGGGTCCAGTGCTCCTTTCCCAGACTTTCTGATCCACCCAGGGATAGCACCCACTCACCAGTCTGAAAGGTTGTCCTCAGCACAGGGACAGAACTCTTGGAGGTCCAAGAACCCAGCAGACAAAAGGGAGAACTTGGGGGGAGGGGAGGGCCTTGATTAATCAAGAAGCCCCTGCAGCAGGAGCTGGAGGTGCCCTGCACTCCCCTCCAGCCGGTAGGGTGCACACTCACCCCTCTGCGTGGATAGTCTCAGTGCAGGAGCAGGAACTGTTCCTGGGTCAAGGACCTCCAGACAATAAGGCAGGCTTGGAAGGGCAGGGATGTGTGGAACAAAAAAGCCTCTGCATCAGGAGCTGAAGGGGCCCAGTGCTCCTTTCCTAGACTTTCCAACCCGCCCCAGGATGGCACCCACTCACCAGTCTGAAAGGTTGTCCTCAGCACAGGAACAGGACTGACTTTGAGATTTCTTT